AATTTAATTGGTGTCGGCGGGGATCGAGCCCAGGTCGCGTACTGTGAAATTTACAGCTTGCGCTAACCATCTGAGGTACCACGTCTTAATCATATACACATACAATATTTACATATAATTTGTTAACACTAAATCATACACACGTAAGAAAATAACAGAAAGAAAAGTGAGTTTGTCAATAGAATAAACACTTACATCCAGGGCCTTTGATGCGTTGAAGTAACAAAAATTTAGTATTGATAGATCCACTGCGGTCAAACGACCATACACTAACTTCTTGACTGCAGCTGCTCGGTCTTATATAGCACCAGTAAGTAATAATTCTAATCTAAAGAATCTCTGCAGTGGAACTGATAGTACGAGTAACTTTATGAGTAAACAAGCTTATCTCACATTCTGTTGCTTATCTCAACATTACTTCGTGTTGCGTCTTGTTTAGTGTAACGATGACTCAAATACCTACGATTTGTATAATACAAAAGAATGCAATTTAATATTTAGAAATCACTATAATTGATCATTCCTATGTTAGTCCTTGAGTAGATTGGTACTGTAATAATCTACTAATAGCAGTAATATCATGGATACACTAAGATGTACAACAACATCTGAAAAAGGTTCACCCCAGTCTAGAAAATAATGTTTATGCTGCTAATAGACTGCCCATGTATACCCACATACCAAAGTATATATAATATGCAATTTGGATACAGATGATAAACCAGGGTCACATTGGGTAGCTTTATATATCGATACGAATGACGTCGGTCAATATTTTGATTCATATGGACGATCACCTGTACGATATTATCTAGAGTTTTTAAAAAGAAATTGTAAAAGATGGAACTGGAATGTTGATAGGATTCAGAATGAGTGGACTTCAGTTTGTGACGAATATTGGCGAATATTGAATATTTAATGCACAGTTTTACGAGTATATTTACAGGGAACACATTGTAAAATGATATTTTAGTGGATGGGATGTTTCGCTCCTATTTTATAGACAATAGGTAATAAGATTTTGTATTTTGTAAATAAAAATTATAACAAAATTAGGTAATGTGTTTTATTGATGACTCAGATTAGCGTTGTAGATAGGAACAAAGAAGTATAATACAAGAGCACTGATAAGCCGACGCATACGCCGAGGAAAAATAGACAATGACGGTATTCAATGAACAATAGATAAATAGATAAGAACAATGGGGCGCTAATGACGGTGACGGATATCAATTAGATAAGAGTTAATTGATCTGCACATCTCCGGAACCGTGCATCCTACGCAAAAACGGACCGCAGATTCGTGATCAGAGCATGCCAAAACATTTTTTTTGTTTAGGATCGTGAGTCGACGAACGTTGTTCCACTTCTGAATCAGTGAGCCAGAAGTGGTACTACCTATCTACTCACTTATCCGTCCCCAGCTCCATTCCAATAGAATTGCTAAATTCACAAGTGATGTTTAGCAATTCCACAAGATGGGAGAGTACTGGGGGCGAATAACTTGAGGTCATCCATATAGAAAAGGTGGGTCACTTTTGTAACTCCCCTCTGAAGCTGAAATCCCCTCCCGGAGCCCTCCAGTAAAGTACTGAGAGGGTTCAAAGAGAGGCATAACCAGATTGGACTCAGACAGTCGCCCTGGAAGATACCCCTTCTTATCCTTATGCGGCTTTCCGCAGCCAACATCTGCCCGCCCAGATGACAAAGGATCGTACTCCACTGCCCCATACACTGCCCGAGGAAGTCTTTAACTGTACAGTCAATTTTGTACAGCTCGAGGATCCTCTTTAGCCATGTATGGGGCACCGACTCGAATGCCTTTCTGTAGTCTATCCAGGCGGCGGAGAAGTTCCGACGGTTGCGTTTCACCACTTCAGCCAGTAATGATGCAGCCCGTCGAGCCCCGGACTTATGCAGTTCAGGGCCCTACGGACTACCTCAGCCACGTCTTCCGGCGTTATAATGACGGGGTTCATAAGCGTAACACTCGCATCCTGGCTCACCATAACTTCCATCCAAGGGTCCTCGCTGTGGTTTACGGGCTCTGACCACAGGCCATGCCAGAATGCGACAGTGTCGGCCTGATCCGGTCCTGGGCCCGCTTCACATACTCCTGGTCTCTCCAATGATTTATAGAGCCTCTTCTGATCACTCTGGAAGAGATGATTCCGGTTGAACCGCCTTCAACCAGAATCGTCAAGACCTCTCGGTAAATCGTCGAATCCGCTTCCCCCAAGCAGCGATTTTTTGGTCTATGCGCTCCGTTAGTTTCTGCGTGATATCCGGCTGGGACAAACTGATATTTGTCCCAGAAAACGCCATTCTAACGGTGCGCACAACCCTCGGTCAATTATTACCCGACCTGAAGCTTGTCAGTCTGCTGATAAGGGCTCTAGCTAAGCCTTTGCTATACGGTCTTCAATTCTTTTTCTCCAGGCTGGGATGGCGCTACTTTGTTTAGTAGCGCGTCCAGCCATGGGAAGTTTGGCGCCGATAATACGGCAAACTGATACTGCGGCGCCAAAAAGAATTGAGTCCGTCTCGCAAAGGTCTCGGCTGGCTTCCAAATAGGTCACCAGCATTGGGTTAAGAGCCCTCACGACAGCCCGATTTCGCTTGCTTAGGGGTATGCGGGAATGTCGCGGTCGATTTACGAGAGGCATGCTGCGCGTTTCCTAAATCGCATCCCCAGCTATAGCCAATTCATTCGATGAGGGAATGGCCTCACGTCGTAGTCGTCCGAGCTCGGCATCATCAAATATTTTCGAGCGCATGATGTACCGAACTATGTCTGCCAGGTTTTGTTCCGTGACGAGAATAGACGGCTCCAGCTCAGCAAAAATGCAATGCATCCAAGCCCGATAAGCTATCCCTACAGTTTCTTCCCCTTTCGTCCAATAGTACGCCCGCAATGCGTTTGCGTTCATATTTTTTGTCCAACGCGTGCGGCGCACTCCACCAGCGGCGGATGCCGCTTGCTGAGTCCGAGAGAACCCTGCCGACATCTAGCCGTCTGGTGAGGATGATGGATGCGGGGGGCTGCTGGGTGACCTTGCAGCTCCTCGCGCTCGGCTGGCGGCTCCCTTGCCGCCGCGTTCAGCGCCAGCTCCAGATGCGCCCCGGCAACCCCCAGGCAACGGTTTGATTTTTGGGCGCCAATTAACAGGTGACGCCCAGACTCGGCACCGTTTCATTGTACGGCCGTAAGCACAAACGAACCTTTGCACCCTCAGTACTGCCGAGGCACGGCGCTCACACCTCTTGGCAGGGCCCTGGCTGACTGTACCGCCGTAGCAGTTTTGTCACTTAAGTCACAGAATAACTTAAGTGTTACGTCAGCGGGCGATGGGGTCGTCACTTCCCTACGCCTTATTATTATTATTATATTTTTATTATTATGTGGGGTATCTATATAGTTTTCTCATCTGGTTGGGTTCTATAAATATATAATTATAAATTAAAATGAAAAGATAAATATACATAAATATCAATAAAATAAAATAAATACAAAAATACATAAATAAATAAAAGCCCAACCAGATGAAAGCCCTCGGCAGGGGGAGACCAAACGGCCGAGGGTTAGGAGGAAAGGGAAAGAAACCGGCGGACGATGCGGGCGGTATCGAGGAGCACCGCCTTCTGCATTTGAGCCCAGAGCGGTTTATTATTATTATTATTAATGGGTCTTAAATCTAGTTTCTTCTCCTTTACTAAAAGTTACAGGTTTACCAACTGTTTAATACGATTACTATTCAATTTGTAAAAAAGGGTCACCGCCGGTATTTTGAAGCAGCTAGTCTTGACCTTGTACCTAAACGAACGTTACTGAGGTCTTCGTCGAACGTTTCAGAGGTATAATTACTCTTAAATCCATAACTCCTAGCGCCGGGGTTGACTTTTTGAGGTTTTCGGGGCATATCGTAGCTATAAAAAGTTAAAATCTTAATCAAAATTGAGCAACATAATGTATTTACCTATTCAAAGTTATCCAAAACAATATTTTTTATGATACGGGTAACTTTGAACCGTTCAATATTACCCAAATTACTTCGATTTTTTTCGTCGTCAAAACTTCATCAGTTTTACACAATATTTAAATTAAATCTACATTTGCAATCGTTTTTTAAATATCTTTGCTCACAAATGTGTTAGCGAAGAATTGGGTGTTATTTGCAAGCATTTCAAAAACGTTAGGATTGGAAGTTTGTCTGCAATTTTATTTTAAATTATTTTAGTCCAAGAATTGCAATTAATCTGTAATCTTGTTAGGTACTCCTTTTATTTCAATGTTGACCTTTCAAACAACATATATATATTATTATAGGTAATATCTACCAAGAATCAAGTATCTTGAGCCAGTTTTTATCATGTTTCTATAAATGACTGTACACATCAGAGGGGGAAAGTCGGAAGAAAATAATATATCAGAATTCCGATTCTTCACCCCGCACGCGTTTCAGAGTATCCACGCTAGAGTGGATTCTTTAGGGTGGATAAACAGAATAACTCTTTCAGTTTACTAATTCAATGGACAAGGACAATAACTCAAGTTGAACTCACCAGAGTATACCTTTACAAATTCTTACATGCAGAGAAACTGAAGCATAGCCCTTTTCATAGCTTGCTGAGTGAAGCATCCTCTTAAGGCCAGGAGAGATATACAATCTCAATAGTCTCTCCCAACAGACTGGTGTTAAGCATGTCATAATCATATTAATTTCGTTTGTAAAAAAATTGTTTTAAACATCTTGGAAAATAATCTTTGGCAACCATTTTTATTGAAACCTTATTGTATTAGACAAATTGCACAAATTATATTAACAGAAATACAAATTGTCAAATTTGTATAAAAGCAAATATTAGAATTCAATAAAACAATTAAATCTATAAAGTTTTATTTACAAACATTTACACATTGCAGCAGTTTTAAACTAAATTTTTCAAGCATAACTGATAAATGAACAATTGGCAAATAATTATGCAATATAACAGCAATATCACCATTTTCTGGAAAGACCAGCAGTGCTATCAAACAAAAGAGGGTTTTTGAATTCTCCCCTCATATCTAACATATAGTGCATTACTGTATCCTTAACTTTAAGTGGTAGCTGCACTTTTGCCAGTTTCCTGCTCTCTTTACAAGAAACATTTTCTATTGGCACTTTCATGATGCGGTTATTTCCAAAGGGGCTATATGTTACAAATGTCAAGTACTGTCCACCTTTGTTTAGGATTAAATATCTCACTGACTTCAGAGTGTACATCCACACCATTGCTAAAGATCCAGTGCCTGTAAGTAAAAGTAAAACAATATTTAAAATAACTAATACTAATAACTTTCTTTTTATTCATGAATACTGTAGTTTTTGTAGAAAAAGACATTAACTTTTATGCTATCAACAGATTTAGTTTGGTTTATAACTCAGGAACAGGTGGCAAGAAATTTTATAATATGAAAACAATATAGCAGTAATTGCAAACATATTTTTTGAAGATAAGACTTGATATTAATATTTGAACTCTCAGTAGCACTGTGGCTATACATGCAGCTGCAATGCTACAGGGACACAGGTTATAATCTTGTATAAAATGAGTGACAAGAAAATAACAAATAATTGTGCCATTTGGAACAATTGTTTGTAGTGTTAAAATCTGGACATTTATCCTAATGCAATATATGTATGAAAAATACCCCAACAATTTGAAGGCAATGTCTTTTTAATGATACCACATTATGAGTATACCTTTAAATCTTTAATATGATTAAAAACTGCTTTGATGTTAAATGTTATTAAAATTGCCACCAGTTTCCTTAATATGACGTTTTTCTAGTATGTTTTCACTGTGATTATTATGAATTATAAACTTAAGAATGTAAAATTATTTAGAAAAAATTATTTACAAATGAAAGCTAAATAAAGACAACACATTTTTTATCTGGTGGATAATTAGTGCTCAATCAACATCATTGACATTTTATTCCATTGTGCACATTAAAAGCATCCGTCGGATAATTTTTTCTTAAGAATTGCATGTGATTTCAATAATGAATGTTATTTATAGAAAGAAAATAAATATAATCACCAACAACTAACGCAACAGTCCCTAATGTATTTCTGTATTTATTTTCGCCCAGATTTATTCTTCTGAACCAAGGAGTTTCATCTGTTATTGTAGACTTATCCACCGGCGCATCCCTCAATGATTTAAAGGCAAAAACACCAAGGTATGACCAAAACATATACTGGACGATTGCAAATATATTCATGTACTTAAAAAACGTAGGGTTCTCATATTTGAATAATATGACGTCTTTTGCAACTTTGGTATTCACGTCATGAACTGTTTTCGTTGTTACTGAACTAAAAGAATAATTTCGAGAAACATGATTACGGTTACTATTGCTAAAATAATGAGATAAACGTAAGGTGACCCCTCTTTTTAAAACTGTTGTGGCATAGGATAGCAAAGACATTCTTTACTTCTCCGCTTTAAGTATTAAAAATGATTTTCTATCAAGTTTATATTTCGAATTTTTTAATCATAAATTATACAGAATTCCCCAACCATGAAAAGTAAATAAAAATAAAAACTATAAATTAGATTAGGTTCTTATTATAACCTGTAACCTCAAACTCAAACTCAAATAATATAGTTTTTGTAATTTTTGTTTTATTTATTTAAAACTGGCTTTACAGCTCTGGGTTCTAGCCCTTCTGAGCCTATCATTTCTTTCCGGATCTTGATTTTTATAGATTTTCTTCACAATATACTGATGCGCCACATTGTGAAGTTTTTGGGAGATTTTGACACAAGGAACGCATAAGGCGCACAAGGGATCAAAATAACTTGAGTTTTATATCAACATCGAAGCACTTGTTTCATCGTTTTCTCTAATAGTTTACACGCGCAGATACTTAATTCACAAAATCGCATCACTTTTACGAACCAAAATCTACTTCAAACAATTATTTAAGCGATAAAACAGGAGCAATAATCCGCCGACGGCCAAGTTCCACAAACTAACTAGATACACCAAGTTCCCACCAAAACTCCTATTTTGTAATTTTGTGTTTGTATCCATTGAGGTTAGAGAATAGGAGAACCATAGAGGAAAGTAATATAACCAAATATAACATACAAGAAGAACGATGCGAATAAGTGAGGCGCTGCGATCGCTCAATAAAGATCATTTTCAGTCTATTTTTCCGATCAGATGCGAAACCATACACATCCACGCACAATAAAATATTTCTCCATTTTCTTAAAGTTTTTTTGTCAAAAATTAAAAAATTACGGAGCACGAAAATTTTGCCGCGAAGAAAAATTGTACATTATTCAACTAACTTCATCTACTTGTACTCATAAATAGCTAACTTCACAGCATAGACAGATAATGCTAGCATAGCATTCTCTTTCTACGCTTCGCAGCCACTACTCACCGACGGCAGTGCCGCTATAAATTCTTCAAATTTTCAAGGACAGGCGGGCTATGCTTTAGTAAGTAGCGATCGTTCTCCTTATGGAGTACAGACTGTGTATTAAAAAGTGTCCATAAAAACCTTTAAATAAGGGTGGCGCTACTATAGCTACGGGGTAAATTTTAAAGAACGCACCGAAAAATATTAGTGAGATAGACGACTTTTTCGAGGTTATATTTATTAAATAAAATTATTTTAGATTTTAGAGCTACTGATCAGTTTATCAGTACACTTAAACCGGCGACAACTGCTAAGTTCATTTCATCCCAGTAGCTACTCCAGCGCTGTTGTGGAGTTTTTAAGCTGTTATTTACTGCTTACAGATGACCACTTTTTCAACTATTCTACTATGATTCATAGTAGAATAGTAATACTCCATAGTTCTCCTGTTCTCTAACCTCCATGTTCGTATCTTTGACCGTTTGACCTATCAAACAGTATAGTAGGGTCGATGCGCCGGTAAGCTTGAGTAAGCTGCCCGGTCTAGATTTCTGCCTTTGGCATGAGGCAATGCAGTTATTTCAATCACGGTTTTGATAACTATTATTGTACAAAGTGTAGTTTAATCTTAGAAGTTTAATGCATTTGTTGTTTTGTGCAGTTGCACTATATCTGGTAACATTACTTAATCAGGTAAACACAACGAGCGATTTAGATTATAGAATTCGAGAATGATGGACATTTGTCAAAGTTCTATTCATACCTGAGGCTGGCAGAAAGGACTAAGCTTTACCAAAGTCCTTTAGACCTATAAGCCTATCTTCCTTTCTCCTTAAGACATTGGAAAAGGTTATAGATAGATATATAAACGATGTAGCTCTAGCTACGAGGCCCATACGTTACAACCAGCATGCTTACCACAGAGACAAATCTACGGAAACAGCCCTGATCAGTGTCATTGACAGGGTTGAAAAAGCACTGGAGGATAAAGAAACAACTCTTTGTGCCTTTCTAGATATTCAGGGCACCATCGACAGTAGCCCCACATCATTGCTGATTTAGGGGCCCTGACATCTAAAAATGTTGACCCTACAACCATCAGATGGGTGAAGTCGATGATCTCAAACAGAAGGGCAAAAATAGCGCTGTTTAAAACTTCGATTGAGGTTGCAACTACAAGAGGCTGCCCACAAGGAGGTGTTTTGTCACCCCTTCTTTGGGCTCTTGCGGTTGACCAACTATTGTACAAAATCGCAGATCTACGCAATGACACACTAGGTTATGCTGATGACCTTATGATCATTGCTAGGGGCTTTTGCCAAAGTACTTTATCGTCAATAATACAAAGAGTCCTAAACACCATAAGCAACTGGTGTAGGAATAACAGTTTATCAGTTAATGCTGATAAAACTGTTATAATACTCTTTACCAAAAAGATACGGTTGGACAAATTAGTCCCACCACTTAATGGTAAAAAAGTACCATTTTCCACTGAAATACTTGGGTGTAACAATCGACCAAAAACTAACGTGGAACTCTCACCTCAGCAACGTATGCAATAAGGCAAAAATTGCTTTAGGCACGTGCAGTCGTTTGGTCGGGAACAACTTGGGTTTGTGTCCTAGTATGGTCCTATGGCTGTACAGCAGCACAGTGAGGCCGATCCTCACCTATACCTCTATTGTCTGGTGCAATAAAGCCGACCAAAAGACGACTGCGGACAGACTAAATAGTCTACAAAGGACTGCCTTCTTAATGGCAACTGGAGCTCTGCGATCATCACCTGGAGCGGCTCTTATTGCACTTCTATGCCTAACACCCCTTGATCTTTATCTAGACAGGGAGACGAGGGTTAGTTTGTATAGGATTAACGCCCAGGGCGGTCTGAGCTTGCTCTCCTACAGATTGAGATCCATGCCCGACTCAATTAAGGAAACACCGATCTTATGCATGATCTCAGATATCATGTATCCACTACACACTTTTGATAAAAAGTTTATAGTGGTATTACTCTCCAGAGAAAACTGGCTGAATGGCCAGGTTATCTGTGAGGTCAGTAGTCTCATATGGTATACCGATGGATCTAAAATGGGCATCGACGTAGGCTTTGGAATTCACGGGGAACGCCCCAAATTCAAACTGAATTTGGGTAGATTCAGCTCTATCTTCCAGGCATAAATGTTCGCCATATTTCAGTGTGCGGAAATTAATCTGCAAAAACACTACGACAATCAAATAATTTCTATTAACTCTGAGAGTAAAGCAGCACTGTCAAACTTAGTAAACTAGAAGCTAGTCGGAAACTGCGTGAACGGTTTAAACGCCCTAGGATGTAACAACAGGGTCGTCTTACGATGGGTTCCGGGTCACGCGGATATTGTAGGCAACGAATTTGCCGACAAACTTGCACGGGAGGGCTCAAAGTGCTAACAATTATAATTCGTGCCAAATCGATTGAGAAAAACGGATATTGACCTTTCGGTCGTTTAACCAGTGGTTACAAACCTTCAACATATATTTTATATGTAGTACCTTCTTTATTTTAAATGATTTTTTATAATGATTGATATACTTAATATATATTTATTAACAATTATTAAAAAAAGTTATGTAAAAGATCCCTGTAGAAGAAAAATCATCTGTTAGTAAGTAACACATAAAAATATTCGAGTGATAACGACACCGAATAAGTACGTACTTATTCAAAAGATGAAACTCAATATTATATATGAACTTTATTTTTATTCGGTGATGCGGGCCGGCCAAAAAAAAGTGACGCATCTCTGGCTGCCAATGTCACGTTTCTTTTAGAATAAACAGACGTAGCGCGCGTTTTGTTTATTTTAAAGGGATGAATTTGCAAAAGCTCAATATGGTGATTATATTGCATCAAATATTTTTTTAATATGATTTTGTGGAATCTCGAGAAGCCTAACCCGATTGACCATTGAAACTTCTTATCACAATAAATCACTTATGACTGACACACCAGGTTTAAAATATTCTAAAACCTTAATCTGGGTTTTTGATCATAAATTTTATCATTAAGTAAAAATAAATTGTTCTGCAAGAGCCCTAACTGGACACTGTCGTCTTAAAAAGCACATATCATAGAGCTAAGCAAACTCAATGATGTGTCGATTCTGTTCCATAACGGAAGAAACGCCTCTGCACATCCTAACTGATTGCGGACCCTTATTGCGCAGACGTAACACTCACCTGGGAAACGATGTACTCCGCTCAGAAAAAATGAAATTGCTCACGGCTAAGCAACACCTTCTATTCATTGAAGATATAGGGCTTAGCAGTGAACTATAGCCGTAGCAGCGATCACAATAGATCTTTTAGATCGCAGTAATACTGGACTATTGTCCTAGACCTGCATAGCTGCTCGCACCATAATAAAAAAAGGAGGTCAACGTGGCTAGAGCACCGAAAAGGGCTCTATCTGAAAATAGGGCCGGTTTTACACATAGATCGCGCTCTAACCAAAGGAAAGAGACTACCACTAACGCCCCAAGACCAGTGCCTTCAATAACAAGATGACAACTTCCACCAGCCGGCCATGAGACAGCTGATGCCATACAAAAATCGATCGAGGTCGGCACTTCAAGTCTTGGCCGATATCCGGGCCTGGACAGATCCTATCACCGCTGCAATGAAGGCGCTGGCATCACTACTGGCACGCCCCTACGGAGGATAGTAAACTGCGCCTCCTCTATTGGAACCCGAATGAGATACAGCAGAGGATCGATGAACTCCGTACAGTCACCCAATAACAGGACATCTAGGTGATATTGCTGGGAGAGACTAAACTTAG